GGGGGGGTTCGATAATAATAATAATAATAATTCGTACTTGTAAAAATTAACTAAATTGTACTATTTTATTAAAACAAATGAGGTTGAGGAATTTATCTAATCATATTTTTGATAAATTCACTGTAGCAGATTGAAGTCCCACAGTGGCGATGACTCGACGATGGTGGTCCGACAGCAGCAACAACGTTGGTCGGGCAATGGTGGTTCAGTGATGATGTCGACCCAACAATGGTAGTCTGATGATGACGTTAACCCAGCAATGGTGATCTAGTGATGTCGTCGACCCAACAATGGTGGTCTGACTGCAAAGATGGTGGTCGTCAGACAACGACCCAACGGTGTTGTGGGCAGGAAACTATGACCTGAAAATAATAATAAACTGACGGTACATGACCCACACAGACAAAGGTGGTGGCAATGATGGTCCGACAGCTGCAGTATGCAGACAATGCTAGTTGGGCAGAGACCACGGTGCTGGTCATTTAACAGTGTTCACGAGGCAACGACAATAGTGGTGGTCGGATAATGACCGGACTCTAGTTAATTAGTTGCTTACTTTATTTTCAAATATCAAAAATTAAAAAAAGAATCAAATTTTCATTCCTATTACAGTATCTTAAGTTTTAAGTAAGAATATTTTACTAAGTAGAATTTTTGTTATCTAAAATTTATAATTTAAAAAAAAAAATCATATTGTCAATTTTCCTTGTGGGTTCGATATTCGAGGCTTAATAAAAAATTCTTATATTACTTGATAATGATAGTATACTTGCGTAGTATCACATATTTAAATATTAAAGTTGTATTATTTTTTGCTTCATAGTGAAAAATTTGCCCAGTTTTTGCTTTCGATCAAGTTTTTAGCTTTGTTGCAAAATATATATCATTAAACATATAATCACATACATAAAGTCTGGATCGCCCCTCTCTTACAACCCTAGACTCCCTCTCTTTTAAATTAGGGGCCGCCTCATCTCAAAAAGAATTTAAAATTCCCTCCCAAATTCTCTCCAAAAGTCACACTTTTTAAATCCCAAAAGACATGTCCAAATCCCAAAAGACATGTCCATAAAAGACATGTCCATTCATTCAAGAGACATATCCCTTAATTAAAGAGCCTTACAAAGTGTCTAAGATGCGTTGAATCACTAAATGGGGCGTTTAAAATATTTGAAGCCTTCAAAATCCGCTCAAAATTTGTCTGGAACCACCTTAGTCCATCAAAAATCATCTCTAGCATTTTAGACCCTGATTCTGGCGCTTCAAGCGCCAAGTTAATTAAGTAAACACTGTTCTAGGTTCTGGTGTTTCAGCTGCCGATTCTAGCACTTCAGGCGCCGCTTCTCTGTATAGTGGCGCCATAATCACAAAGTTCTCTATTTTGGCCCCAAATTTCCTTTTTTTTGCTACTTTTGCTCTAAATGCCTAAAATTGATACACCTGCAATAAAAATATGATAAAAATATGAAAATACCCTTCTTAAAATATGAAAATACCCTTCTTTAAAGTGCAATATCATTAAAAATAAATATAAAATATATACTTAAAATAAGACATTATTTTGGTGTATCAACAGTGTTGGTCGTGATGTTGGGGTATTTTTTTGGTTACATATTGGTATTGTTGGTGTTGGTGATAGTGGTGTTAGCAGTTTGTTGGTGGTAGTAGTGTTAGTGGTGGGTTTTGGGTGAAATGTTAGTGGTGATTTTTTGGTGACATGGTGGTGGGGGTGTTAGTAGGTTGTTTGTGTCGGTTTTTTCATGACATGGTGGTGAAGTTGGAAATTTGTTAATGGTGGTGGTTCTTTGGTGACATAGTGGTGGTGGTGTTTGTGGGTTATTGATGGTTTTGGTGTTAGTGATGGTTTTTTGGTGGCATGGTGGTGGTGGTGTTGGTGGGTTGTAGTTGGTGGTGGTTATATACATGAAATTGATGGTTTTTTGGTGACATGATGGTGGTGGTGTTGGTGGGTTGTTGGTGGTGGTGGCTTTTTGGCGACATGATGGTTGTGGTGGCTTTTTGGTGGTTTGTTGGTAGTTGTAGTGTTGGTTGTAGTTTTTTGGTGGAATGGTGGTGGTGATGTTGGTGGTCGTTTGTTAGTGACATGATGGTGGTGGTGGGTGGTTTGTTGGTGTTGGTGGTGTTGGTGATATTTTTTTGGTGACATGGTGGTGTTGGTGTGGTAGTGATATTGACGGTGTTGGTGTTAGTGGTGGTTTTTTGGTGATGTTTCTTTTCAGTTATATTTTCAACTTATTGTTTTTAAAATGACACTTTATGTTTTCTCTAACAAATATTTATATTGTTTGGTTCTTTTCTTACTAGTATTGTCATGGTTAAGATAAAATAAATTAGTTTGTTTACCATGTGGGATAAAGATGTGAAACTAATATTTTGTGATCCTTGTCTTAAAAGATGGAATTGAGAAATACACCAACAAGTTATTTTAACAAAGAGGACTGACAAAATATTATAAAAAAAATTTAAGGAAATCACAAGAAAAGAATATGATACGATGCAATTAAAAAACAATTGAGATCAATTAAAAAAGAACTGAAAAATATAGAAAGACTTGAAGCGAGGGTCCATGGTCTTAGGTTGGGATCCGATAAAACGAACAATCGATGCTTCAGAAGAATGGCGAGCTGAAAGATTAGAGGTGAGAATTTATGAAACCTACAATCATTTTATCATTTTTGTTTTTTCAATTACATCAACATATCAATCATCCATTAATTTCTATGTCATACCAAATGCAAAAAAAAAATAATAAATACAGTGGCATTGACCTTGATCTGGAGGCAATTTGGATAGTATGTTGGGTGGAGTTATGGCCGCAGGTGATCATGCATGGGCCCCTATTAAGAGAGGGTTTGCTAGCATAAATGAGCATATGGATGTAGGGCAAACAACTGAATACAATAAAGGTTTCAGCCTGAACCTCAATGAAGTTGAATCTACCAGTCGATCCAAACGTCCTAGAGTTGAGAAAAGGAAAAAAAAATGGTAAAATTTTCATTATATGCCAAACTTTACAATTAGTTATTTCATGCATCAATGACCCTAGCAGTTCACTAGCAATTTCTATTCAATAAATAATGTAAATTCGGGCAGCTCCACAATTTATGTGGACATGTTGCTCTACTTATTATCTATGTAGTTTCTTGAAGAGCCGACTCAGAGAGACTTCTTTATGTCGATGCCCCATAATCGTAGGGTCAATTACTTAAGTTATTTACATGAAAACAAGATGCATGATTTTTATTTATTGTTGAATACTTTATGTTTGATTTTCACGGGGACATTATTTGTGCTACAATCAAAATACTTGAGTTTTATTTCTTAGATATTTTCTCTCAAATATTTATTGGGACATATTTACAAGCACAACAACTTTTTCATAGATTTTTGAACTTTTTTATCATTATTTTTTCTTTAATGCATGCTATAGCTCATTCGACGTTATTTATATGTGGTAGTTACATAAACAATGAGTAGCATGGATAAAGAAAGACAAAAGAAGTACTACAAGCTTCATGCTTAATTATGATTATTACAACTCATATATTGCTTGTTTTCCCTGCATGACATCCACATACATAGGCGACAAAGTGGGTTGGGGAGTTGCTTGAGGGGCATCCAACAATATTTAACAGTATATTTTATATAAAACAACTTATAATCATCGATCTGTTAGATAAACTACACAGAAACCATGAATTTCATGGTTCCTCTAGAATGACTTTCCGAGAGGTGTTAACCATAACCCTATATATTTTATCATAGAGTGAATCTATGAGAGGAGTCATTGAGAGATTCCAGCACTCATCAGAAATAATCAGTATATATTTTTCAATAGGGTTGAATGCTTTGATCACCTTTTCATTAGAAATTATCACACTCAAAGACCCCACATTCCAAAGAACCCCCATAGAGATTGTACAAGACCAACATTATATGTCATATCTTAAGGTAAAGGCATGTGTTTATATTTTCTTGAATTTACTTGAACATGATAATTTGAACACCTTTGATAAATTCTTTAGGATTTTATTGAAGCAATTGATGAATCACATATTGATGCACAAATATTAAACAATGAAAGGATCACACGCATCGGGTGATGCGGTTTACACACACAGAATGTAATGGTTGTATTGATTTTATCATGTGCTTCACTTTTGTTATGACCGGATAGGAAAACAATTCACACAACAGTCGCGTGTTCGAATTTGCCACGTGAAATTAGAAATACAACTTTCCAAAGCCACCTCTAGGTTTACTTATATGAATAAATGAAATGGTACTTTAACTACAATAAAAATGATTATAATTATTTCAGAGTAATATTATTTGGTTAATGATGGATATATTTTACAAAGAGGGTTCTCAACTCATTTCTTGATATCAAATACCATATTATTGAATTTGAAACAACTATCAACATTGTTTGGGGTATGAACGATATGTTTAACAAGAGACACTCATCCTTACGCGGCGTTATCGAAAGAGCGTTTGGAGTTTGGAAATAATGCGTTATTTTGCAAGATATGCACATACATTTTTTTCAATAAACAAGTTCAGATTGTGGTCGCTACAATGCTCTCCACTACTACATTCGACGACATCCTTCACACAGTGGCATTGACTTCAATAGAATAGATGAAGATCATTCACATGTCCCTACTGAAGCATATGCATATTGCCTAGGGCAATCAATATCACAAGTTGAAAGTGATTTTTCAAAGACTTGTACCCAGGAAGGGGAAAGTGTTGAGGAGATGATGGAGTTATGAGAGCGAATTACAGATGCCATAGTAGCGGGTGAAAGAATATTATATATTTTTATTGTTTTAATGATTTATGCAACGACGTACATGTTGAATCTCAATTTGCTGTAATTTTGATTTTCAAATCTTTTGTATGTATTTTTTCCCACATGGAGTCTCCGAGACAACTGTGGGTACAATATTTAATATATTTATTTATTGCATGTTTTATTTCTGATTTGGAGGTTTATGATAAGATACTCGACCTTATAGGTTTCTCGGGATGGCCTATATGATGTGATGAGTTCTTCACACATATAAAATCACTATCAAGACAATCAAGTACCCCTCCTTTTTGAGATGTATGCCTGTTGGGGTTCTTTTGGATGACCTTTATGGTGATAATTGTGATGCATACAACTCAATATTACGTGGTTTAAATGCAACAAAAGACATTTTCTTAAAGGTCTATTGTCATATTGTAGTGACTGATTATTTGTTGGTTTATACTTTTTGCTCTGAAGCCTCACAAATTTGTAATACTTTAATTGAGTATTTATATTATTCTTCTTTACTAATGTTGCATCTAAGGGTCTATTCTTTTTCGTTTAAAACCTTCAGAAAAAAATGAACTCGATGACTTTCAATGTCTCCAGAGCATTATGTTGCTATTGTGAACTATATTATTCTTTGCTTACTTCTCCACAGAAGCATAGCTATGTGATACAATTTTACAAGTGTCCAAGGAATAGACCAGGGAAATGTGACTTCTTCTGGTGTACAAATATGCTTGATGATTCCACGTCAATATTGATCAGATGTTGAGAGTTTCTTCAGAGGAGGGATTACATCGTGATTAATCAACTGCATTTTAAAAACAATATTATGATGATACTAACTGCTATTCTAATAGTTTTATTTTTAATTTTGATTGTTGTATTACTCACTGTTTAATGATGTGTTAGATTTTATTGGTAATATTCAAACTAGATATATGCTGTCATATATAAAATGTGCAATCATAATTGATTTTGTTATAAATATCACTACTACAAGGGCATAAATGTCATTTATTAATATAGATGCAGCATAGCTGCTGCAAAACAGTACTAAACAAATAGACATACAACTTCCCAACAACGGTTTTTTGACATAACTACTATGCGACAATTTTTTAATAAGTTGCAACTGCCCCAATTAAACTCTTGGTAAATTTGACATTTATGACAAAAATTATAAGAACTAGATTTACTTTAAATCATGCTTAAGTCCTGCTCAAATCCTCTGTCAAACAATTCTTAAGAATTTGCAATTATTTGCAAATAGAATTTAATAAATCTTATAAATTTGAATTTGATAAACGTCAAAATGTTTTAAATCCTAAAAACTATATGATATGATAAATGTTAAAGATTGTAAAACTCTATATGAAAATATATGCCAACTTATTTTAAGATTTAAATGTGCTAATTGTAATAATGATTTAATATTACATATTAATGATATAAATATTAAGTTAAATTAAATTAAGTTAAAATTTTGATTTATAATTGTGTCATTCAATACTTAAGAATTTATTGTGCTGATTAAGCATTAATAAAAATTATTTTAAACAATAGTTTAACATTATTTAATGAACTATTAATTAATTAAACTAATTAATACAGCTTTATACATTAATTAAAATTTAATTTAAATTAATTATATTTATGTATTATTAAATAGTTATATATAAATTTATCTAATTATAATTAATTTGATAATCTGTTAATTAATATTTGTATTATTAAATTAAATTAATGAAGGTTAAACAAAACTATCTTCCCCTCGCCTTTCCCGCCGGAAACCCTCGCCGTCGTCCCTTACCCTCTCCCGGTTCGCCTCAATCCATCGCCTTCATGACCAAAAGCTCGCGGTACAGGCGCGGTTAGCTAGCTGGGAAGGCAACGACGGGATCGCGGCGACAAAGCTCCCAAACTTCCTTCTTTCTCCTCCTCGCTCTCCTACCATAAACCATTGAGGAAGAAAACCCTCGTCTTTCTCCACGCCTTAGCGCGCTTCAGCTTCTTTAAATCCGTAAATTTAAGGCCAAACGGAGGAAAAGATGGCTTTTTTGCTGTTGGACGTGATTTTTAGGTTAAATCCTGCTCAAATCCTGGCACCAAACGGCCCATTACTCTTTGGCGGAATTTAGTTTGCATATGGTCACCGAGCAGCCCCTAAATCCTCTTGTCTCGCTCCCTCATGCTTATTGGGACGTCAAGTTGCTCTGTAATGGCGTGCTCCAATTCTACTGTCCCCGCAAAATCCCGTATCAAGCGGAGAAAACTCCCACCAGTGTTTTCTGAAGAGCAGCCGCAACCGCAAGAAGAAGATCGAGATGAGGGTAGAGACCTGAAGAAGATCAAGCTTTGCAACACCTGGGAGAACCTTGATCTCATTCTTACTTTACAAAGCAGAGAAATTAATCTGCAAAGGTCTATTCCAAAACCTTGTCCACTTTTCAGAATAGGACGAAAAAATAAGTTTTTTTTTTCTTTTTTGATTCATTTATCGAGAATTACAATTCTGTTCCACGCAGGAAGATCGAGGCTTCTTTTGATTTTGCAAATTCGGAAGCCAGCAACGGTGATGGGAAGATGCAGCCCGTTTCTTTTACACGGGCACTGCACTATGTTTTCGATTGGATGCAGTCGCTTTTGATGTCTACAGACCGAAACAGGAAAAACGGCGAGCCTTTGGATCCTTGCCTGGACTACAGATGCTGGGCCGTAATCAGATCCTGCTCAGAGAAGTTTTCAGCGGGACCCTCCCCCAATTTATTAAGAGCTGTAGCGCCTGTTTTGAAGCAAGCATTGTTCTTATTGGACTCTAACTTTTTATTAGGAGTAGAATCCAACCAACTATTTGAGAATGCTTTGCAGTGCCTCTCCTCATTGCTTGCTTCAAAATCAAGAGCTTTTTACAATGTGGGCATGGATTTATGGATTTCATGTGTTGTTGATGTTCTTAATATTATCGGTAAAGTTTCGAGCAGAGAAAAACAGGCATCTTTGGTGGCTAAAGTCCTTTTGGATCTGTCAGCACTTTTGCTTGATCACTTTTCTAGTTTTCTGAGATTCCATCCAAACCCAAAGAACATATTCTGTGTTTTTGTAGAGAGGCTACTCGAACAGTTGTTCGAGGTGTTTGTTCTATTGCGGCTGAGAACCAAAGATAGTTGTTTTGAACAATTTGCAAGCATGCTGAAGATTGTTGAAGATGTTATGTTGAACGGCTTGTTTCATCCTTCTCATATTAGTGGTTTTTTAAGCTCAAGGAGTTCAACTGTGGGGCAGGAGGTGAAATCTAGAGGTGCTAACGAGAGTTATCATAGGCACTTATTCAACAAACTGGAGAAATTTATACAAGAGAAAAAGATAACGGCATTGGGTGGATTTGCATGCTTGCTCCGTTTGTTTGCTGGCAAAGCCAAGGGTAAGCAAGATGGTTCTTTGTCATTTAGAGGACATCAAGTATTGAAAAAAGGTAATGCGGTCTCTGGAGATGCTCAGGAAGCAGTTTTACCTCTTTTTGAAGTATTTATGCAATTTATGAAACCTCTGTTGCGAGAGTGTAAAAATTGTGCAGAGGAGTTATCCATAGTGTCAGGGGTCTCAGAACACAGGTTGATAGAATTGCATTGCTTGCTCAGATCTGTGAATGAGATTCTTGAAAGTTTCATACAGGAGAAAATATATGTCCGCACAGAAGACACGCCTGAAGGAAAGCATTATTATTTTCTGAAAGAAATTTATGATGCGTTTTATTCTATTTCAATAAAGTTGCACTTTTTTTGGATGTCTGAATTGGAAATGTGTGATGAAGTAAAAAAGATGCTTCCTTTGATTCGAAGGGAGGTTGTTGTAGGTGTTGGTTGCTTTTTGGAAATTGAATACCGGGTTTTTGGGGATGATCTTGTAATTATATGGCTTTTGTTAGTGTCATACTTGGCTGCTAATATATCTATTTCTGATGCTAAGCCTTGTTCGTTGCTGATGAATGAGATTTTAAACCTCGGGTGCAAACTTATCAATGTCTACAGTGAACTTCGCCAGGTTAGTGGGTTTTACCATTTCTACGTGTAGCTTTCTGTTCAACTTACTCTCCTGTAGTCCTTCATACTCTTATCCAAAAAAGTATCGTGCAGATTGCCCTCGTTGTGATTATTATGTAGTATTTGCAAACTTATCAATGTCTACGGTGAACTTCGCCAGGTTAGTGGGTTTTAACCATTTCTACGTGTAAGTTTCTGTTCAACTTACTCTTCTGGAGTCCTTCATACGCTTATCCAAAAAAGTATTGTGCAGATTGCCCTCGTTGTGATTATTATGTAGTATCGCTCTAAATTGCTTAATATTAGATAAATTTCGCGTTGTAGAGGTATTGTAAGTATATGGCTTCATCCTGTAATGGCCAAACAGCCTGTTACATACGTACCGCTCTATTCCTTTTTATTTACATATTTATCACCTGAACTTTACTTTTTACACTTATACACCCATATCCTTCCTATCACATAAAAAATGCCACTAGTTTTACTTTATAAAGGTGAAATACACCTTTTCATGTATAGGTAAGGTGGCGTATGAGTAAAAATTGACATTTAGGTTTTAGATAGGTAAATTCATAAGAATTAAGTGGTATGTCTGTAAATCTTCCTTTTTTTTGGAATAATCTTACATCCAACCCACAATGCATTGCACCTGCTTTTTTTTTTCTTTCAAATTCAATCTATTAATTGGACTTTGTTTACCTTTTTTTTCAGAAATTGTTCTAATTGGCTTTCAAATTCAATCTTGTTTACCTTTTTTTTCAGAAATTGTTCTAATTGGTTCACTGTTTGATACTGTAGGTTATTACTCCTCTATTTGCATTGTGTAAAGCTGTAAAAATACTCATAAAGACCAATGATAGTGTAACAGATGAGTATAAGGTATTTTCCTCTTCTTTTTTTTCTTCTCCGTTGTGCTTGAAAGCAGCAAAAGCTTTGCTTGGCTCACAAGACTTCAGGACGACCATCTCCAATGCTGTAAAATCAGTGCCAGAAGGGCAGGCTGGTAATTTTATTCAACAGCTGAATTTAGATATAGCTGATGCATTGGAATGGATCAGACAGAATTCAGTTTCTGTGGATAGAAAATCCTTTATTGAACATATTGATATTCAAGCTGAACTACTGGGAAGGATTCTCTCTGAAATATATTCTATTGTGCTGGAGTCCTTGAGGATTACTGCAACAAACAGCGTATCGATTGGGACCTCTTTAAAGAACTTGATTAAAACATTAAGGCCCAGCTTGAGTAGTTTTTTGCAGACTCAAACAGATAATGTTAATGATTTTATTTCCTTTATCACTGGCATAAAATTCTCAAATCCTGAATTTATTGAATGTGGAAACAGCTCACAGGTAAAATTGCAGAGTATATGCTGGCTCTTTCTATTTTTCTTCAGATTATATGCTTCATCTAGAAGTTTGTACAAGCAATCAATTAGTCTTATGCCTCCAGATTTATCACATAAGGCATCAGAATCGTTGGGAGACCTGTTTACAACATCTTGTTCTATGGATTGGGTGGAAAAACCAGAGAAAATGGATGGAGGGTATTTTTCCTGGATAGCTACATCCTCAGTTTCGCTTATGGAGGCCATCCAAATCCTTTCAAAAAATTTTCTTTCAAGCAATTTTGCAGCTTGTGATCCACTGGTTTATATATTACAAATCTGTACCTTACAAAGGTTGAATGATTTGAGCAGGCTGATCAAGGCTTTTGATTTTTTTCACCAAAAAGCCCAAATGAAATTGCAAGATGAGAATACTCCTTCACAAAAATCAATGAAGGTGTGGAAAAAACTTATTGCAGGTTCAACAAGGGAGGCAATGGAGCTAACAAATTTTTTAATGGGTCATCTATCTATTTTGGATTCAAAGAGACCATTTGACGAGTTTTGTGGCCGTGGTAAGACTAGCCTTGTCTATGAAGGTGAATGGGATCGGGGGATTTGCTCTCTGGATAAGAAGTCGTTACATGTTGCAGTTTGGTTGCTTTTATGCCAAAACGTTGATGTGTGGTTCGTTTATGCCACCAGAAAGCATCTAAAGAAGTTTGTCTCATATTTGTTTCTTTTTTCGTTGCCATGTTTGAGTAATTATGTCGATGATATGGATGGGAGTATGAGAAGATCTTTATGTAACACTGTTACTCTGCAACGTATTTCGCTCGAGTTACTCCAAGATTCTTTTTCATATGAACAAATGGTCAGTAAAAGATCAATGTAATAACCCCCACAAACCCCCAACCCCCAAAAAAAAAACAACCAGCCATTTGAACCTTTTTCACAATGATATATATTTTAGTCTTGTTTTTATGGTTTTATTTGTCAGAGTTGCTAAAATGCCTTTTTTCTTTCTTATATTCTTCTAGATGACATACACAAATGTTTCATCTATATTTTGCCATATTTTGAAGAAACTGCTGAATCCTGCTTTGCTATGCATACAAACAAATAGTCTTGACTTGGGTTGCTCGCCAAACTGTGAGATTTTGAATATTTTGGAGAAAAAACCGGTATTGATTAACGCAAATGATGGGCTTGATAATTCTTCATTGTCAGGTTCAGTTTCAGTTCTGCCAAGTATGATTTGCTTGGAAAAAAGCCGAGGGGAGCCATCATCTTCCTTCAGCTTGGAGCTAAAAGCTTGTGGAAACTTATTTAATCTTTTTTGCAAAATGCCCAAATTTTATGGCAATGCAAAATCCTTCTCACGTTATGCAACTTATATGCTCAACATTGAAAGGTGGTTTTTTGAATCCTTTTTTCATAAGGTGCATTTAATACTTGTTATAGTTGTGAAAATGGAAACTCTATAATCTGCATTGATCTTATCTTCCATTGCCAACCGTCTTCCTGCTTTTGATTTTTGGATGGCGACAACATAGATTTTGTTTTTTGAGCTCTACACATGGATGTCTCCAAACTTCTTCCTGCTTTTGATTCTAGAATTGTTTTATTCTTTCAGGTTTTTAATCTCCAACTTACTAAATCATCATGAGAAATCTTTTACATATGACCCATTTGAGTTGTTGACTTTGTTCGTATCTTGCCGGAGGGCTATGAAATGCCTTGTGATGGGATCTTCCAAGAACTTAGATGCCATAGAGTTAAGGGCTATCAATGTTGTATTTAATTCCTCCTCTTCTATTTTGTGGCTTTTTAAGTCGGTATATAAAGTAGCTGGACTTCCGAATGCTTTTTTTGGGGAGAGATATTCTAGTCTGGTGCAAGACAAGATTTATTCCTTGATAGATCAGACATCTTATATATTCATGAAAATAAGTGAAGCAAAAGTTAAGGATACTTTGCTTTTCCTATTGAAGGAGATGTTTAACCAAAATCAAATATTGCAAGATTCACCCTTTTTAAATGATAATGACTGTGATGCTTGGGAGCATGTGGAACTGGTGGCTGATGCTTTAAAGGAACATGCAGAAAAGTTTCTTATTACATTTAAAAGTTGTGTTCATTCTGTAAATCTGGATGCTTGTAGCAACAGTTCAGAGTGGAATAAATTTTCATCCATCATTTCTTGTTTTCAAGCTCTCCTGTCGGGCCTAACATCAGCTTCTGATAGTATTTTCAAGGAAATGAGCTTAGAGATATCACAAATTTCAAACTTTATGTTGTTTTATGTCTCCAAACTCAACAGTCATGTTGTTGTTTTCGAAGAGCTTGTAAATGTATGTTTGAAGATTATAGTTTTCGATGACAACCAAATGCTCGAAGATTTCCTTAGTGCCATAGTGGGAGTGGAACTTAAATCCTTCGATTTTGTGTCTTTTTCTAGAAGTGGAAATAAAAGATCAGGAGCTTCTTCCATCAGGAAACATAAGTCACCAGCTTCCCATATAAAATTGACCATTGATTTCTTCCATATAGTAAATAAAATTAATTTACAAAAATTTAAGATATCTTGTGGAGCATTGTTACAGTATTTATTTAAAGATTTATGTTCCCAGGCGGCTTTTATAATCAGACAGCTTTTTACTACATCTGCAACAATTTTGAGAGTAAAGTGCATGCCATCATGTGATGGGCATTTGAAAAACCAGCCTTGTAATTATCAGTTTGCATTGAGGTCTACAGTTATTCTTTTTGCAACTTCTTATATTCTCTTGCAAGAGTTTTCTGAAACGAGTGACCAATCATGCTGGTTTTCTTTTGCTTGGTTGGATGGAGTTCTAACATTTTTTGATGTTGTTGGGAGTCTATTTAGCTTCGGTGATCCTGATATTTCAAAAGATGTTTATGCCGATTTCATTGTCTTGCATTTGAAGGCTATGGGGAAATGTATTAGTGTACAGGGAAAAACTGCCATTTCATCTTTGGATATGGGGTCAGATACAAAGATGCTTGAAGCACAAAATGAAACAGACTGGAATTCCTTGAGATCTTTTGAACATGGAAAATATAGATTCAACGCATTTAAAATTAAGTTGAGAATGTCAATTAAAAAGTGTTTGATGATACCTTCAGAGGTGTATCTGAAGATAGCCATTGAAGTAATTGAAAAGAAGTTAATCGGCGTGCAGCAAAACCACACAGCAATTTATCACTTAAGCACTGGAAATGTGGATGGGGGAATGGTCTCCTCAGATTTGGCTGCTAGCATTGAATGCTTTGAGTTGATTCTTGAATGCTTTTCAGGTGCTTACCAGTTTGCGATTTTAATGCTCATTTAAATTTTTATTGAATGTCATGAAATTTTCTATATGAAGAAGTTCTGACAGGTTGCGATTTTCCATATTAATACCTATTAAGTTCTGAATTATGAAAAAAGTTTGTTTACATTGCTTGAGATGTTTTTGTTTATTCTAAGTAGTTAAATTTCACTAGTTTATGAATGGAAAATTTGAGTTGCTTATTCTGAGTTAAATTTCACTAGTTTATGAATGGAAAATTTGACATCTATGCATAGTCATCTGTAATCATGTTTTCTAACAGTAGACTTGATTTGCAGGGCATAACCAATTTCTTAAGAATAGCTTGCCAAACCTAGTTGGTGCCATAATCAACATATTTTTGCACCTTCGAAAGCCATCAATCTTTTATACAGTGGAATTTTTCCCAAATAAAAGTAATACGGATGCAGGTACACTTATTCTTATGTGTGTTGAGGCTCTTACAAAAGTTGTTGGAAGGCGTTCGTTTCGCATGGATTCATGCTATGTTAGCCAGTATTTTCACATACCAATGGCGCTCTTCGCGGGATTCCGTAAGCTTAGGGATTCTTGTGTTAACTGGAATTTTTCTATGTTCTCTTGTAACAAGGAAAAGGTTCCTTTCACTGGTAGGAAACTATATTTTGTAGACCGTCAGATCTCTATTGAGCTGTATACTTCATGCTGCAGATTGATGTGCTCCACTATTAAACACCAAAAAAAGTACGAGTTGCTGTCTTTTTTACTCCATTCAAACTTCATTTAAAGCTTATTCTGTATTTCTGTTGGTCATCTGCTCAACTTCATAAAGAAAATTAAAATGATCTTATATGCTTCTATTCGTTAAGGATGTGATGTTTTGGTAGTATTTTGGATCTTACATACATACATACATACACATAACACGCGCGCGCGCATACACACACACATAAATATACTTTTGTGTGAAGAGCAATCTAAAGCAATTATAAACAATTGCCCCAACTTTAGGGTCTATGATTGAGCTTAGTGGTCTACCTGTTTTGGTTTTTATTAAAAAAAAAATAAATGTTTAGATAATAATATATTAAATTACTAAACAACTGTTACAAGGTCAAAGCTCTATTAGATTGTTGTGTGAGGGGTGTTCCATATAAAGTTTACATTTTTAAGAAAAAAAATATAATGAGAATAAAAGGGATATATGTCTTTGCTCACATTTAAAGATATAGCCTTGACGGCATTTTAACTTGAGGATATATTTTGGTATAATCAAGTGGTCCTTTATTATTTTTGACTAATTGGATGTCTGTAATAGTCTCAGTAACTACTAAGTTGATTGACAGTTTCTTACCATCCATTTAAGTAGGATTCAATATGTAAGCAATGAAATTTTATTTTGTTTCTTTGATTAAGTTTTTGTCATCATTTTCTTCATCATCACAAGTTTTTTTAACTTGCGTTCTTTAATGTAGATTGTATAATTCCTAATCATGTTTTCTTTGTCTTTATTTTTTCCCTTTGAATTCTTCAATATTAATTCCATGTACTTATCTTATTGGTGCATAAAAATTACTTTAATGTAATTCTAGCTACCATATCTTCAATAATATAGCCCATCATCTATCTAATATTAATCATTCCATTCTATCATTTATAATTTTACCACACATCCATAGTCTGATTTATGTCAGTTCAACTCAGCTTTTGATAACTTCTTTGTTTCTAACAATTTAGGTCAATGAGAGAAGCTAAATTAGTTGCAAATTAATAATCTACATGTCTCTATAAAGCTCTTAATTTATTTGAATTTCAAGGCATTATTTATTTTAACTACGTATTTTTAGCTCTGGAAGTTATTACCCTTCTGTGTAATCCTTTTCTTTTTATAATAGAACAAAGGCACTTAATGATATGCATTTATGTATGATCAATTTTCAAAAATATTGATGAATAATTTTTTATTTCATGCTTACGAAAATTAGCTTCCCTTTACACAATCTTTATTTTATTATTTGTATATCTTAAATCTTTTAAATTTTATCTATTATCCATTTTTTCTTTCATTTAAACGAGACTTATTCATCTAAACTATATAGTTTGCTAATATCACATACCAAGTTGCCTCACTTTATTGTATTATTTGTATCTCTATAGACAATGTACAAATTTAATAATGATCCATGATGCTATCTCAATTGAAGACTTTGTTTTAACTCCGTAATTACTTGAAACAATTATCATTATTGCATATACATATCATATGTATATTAAGCATGCGTTGGCCTTAATATTTTTTCTATTAAGTGTTCATGTAATTAATTTTGTGATATTCAATCACTATCCTTTTCAAGTAAATAAGTATGAGAAGTTTAAACACAAGTGGATGGGGATTGGATTGAGTACGTGTTGGAATAAAATTCCTGTGAAATTCTTCCCAACTTGAACCCACACATTTTGTATGAAAACTTATACAAATAAACTAAGCACATACAGAAAATATAGGTGACAAAATACATAATATATGTTGGGCTAATATGTGAGTGCTTAAATGTCAAGCACAATAAAGTTGATTTTCTTGCAATGTTACAAACACGCAACTTGTGATCAAATTAAACTACTTATAAGTGTAACAAAAGAAATACATAAATTGTTATCTATGTGTGACTAATAAAACTAACAAGCACAATGTAATAAATCTACTGAATCATACAAACTTTGGATCACATATATCGTCAAACACCAAAGATACATAAATTAATTCCAGCACAATCATAATGATGGTTAGTAGAAATTTGCATAGTCTAAGTGTGACTATGTCAAGTTGAAGCACCAATAACTATAGCACATGGGGAAATAATCATCAAATCACAGCACGAGGATCATCAGGTCAAGTAATATTGAGAGAGAGAGAGAACATGATTATAGAACAATGACACCATTTGTTTATGTGGTTGGCACTAAATTGACCTACATCCATGCATAAGCACTCCCTCCTTTAGAATTCCACTAACTTTTCTTCTTATGATGTAGAAACCCTTTTTTTAATGGTAGAGTACCTATATCATGTGTTCTCCTTCAATTAGTTATGTATTTTATGATTCTATAGGTTATGCTCTCTTAAAGAAATCTATTTTGAATAGTTTTTCTCATATCATTTAAGATTCTCTAAATATTAAAATTAGTAATTAAACTATGTTGATGTCACCTAGCTCTAAATTTCAGGATGTAATTCTATGGATGTACCTCTTTGCTTTTGTGCATATTAAATTTTAATTCACCTTCATTTTTTTGATCTATTTGGAATATCTTTAATGATTCTCTGTAGTATGAACTTCTAAGGAAATCTATTAGAACAATTTTGATTACCATTAAGATATTTTCAACATGTTTATACGGTTAGACAAGTCAGATATATGATACCTTTGCTTTAACTTACATCTAAATTCATATGAAATGTCAAATTTCTTATCATGATTTAGAAAGATAAAAAACTTAAGTATGATTTTCTATCTCCAACAAATTAAGAAGCTTATGATCTCCAAAATTTGGTTTGTATCAAAGTGCTTACCTTCAAAAATTAGTTTTCTTTTCGGTGAGAGTGCATACACTCGTATACTTTCACATTAGATGGTATTCCAGGGGTTTATCTTCAAATTGCCTGATTTGCCATACAATTTATGCTTTTTTGGAGGTCCAATCCTTTTTCTCTCTTCATATTTATAACTTTTTCAACTAATGCATTGGAGTTTTCCTCTCAAGTAGATTACACTGCCCACTAATTTTTTGTGTGCCTAAGGTACTTCTCTTCCATCTCATGTGCGCTTTAGCATCTGATTTGGGTTTCAAACAAATTTGATGTTTGCTTCATGTGATTCTTACCAAATCAAATAAAAGTTTTTAATACAATTACTTGAGTTGTCGTTTAGGTAAAACATTAGGATCCACTTGCCAGTTGGCGTGTGAAGGTGTATTTTAGATTGTGGAAATACATAAGCTTATCAACCAAACAATGATAATGAAGAGTATCTTCAAAAGAAACATTTCATTCCTTTCTTATTTTATTTGAAAAAAAGAAACATTTCATTCATAAATTTCTTTATTCTTGATAGTTTGTACCTGTAGGTGAGTCAACAAATCTACAGTTATGAAGCCTAATTTCTTCAATTATATAGCATATTTCTTCTGATAAAGAGAGGCCTTAGTTACATAAATTTTACGGCAATAAAATAGTTTTGGAAGTCCCTAATTTGATAGTAACACTCGTCTCTTGAAGATACTTTTTAATTTTCTCAATGCCTGAAATATTTTTTTCCAATAAGAAGAATGTCTTCAACATATTTCGCCAGAATCACACTCCTAAATGATGAATGATTGATGCAATACATTGATTAATTATGCCACTTCAATGACCAATTTCAATAAGAACCTTGCATAGTTTATTGAACCCACCTCAAAGATTTTTGTTAAGCCTATATGGATTTTACAGATTACGTACTTTTTTCTTATCTTAAGCAGCATGTTTAGGAGATTTTTTCATATATATAATTTTGAAGAGATCATCATAGAGAAAACATTCCTAATACACTTGATTATTGAGTGTAGTAAGGAGATGGAAACAGTTCAACCAAACCGCTAGGGGAAAAGCCTCGGCATGGTAAATTCGTCATTTTATCACTTTGCTGATTGGATGTAGCCAGATCCCGAGCGAGACGATGAAGGAAATTCGTCATTTCAATTACAATTTCAATCATAAGGAGATCCCTCATTTCAATAACAATATTAATTTTATATTTCCTGTTAAGATCTAGCAGTGTAACTTAATGTGTCCATGGAATAGAAACAATTGGGCAAGGCACAATAACGTGACAAAATGAGGAGAATCAATGGCCAGGGGAGTTAAAAGACTATATTGGAAAATGGTGAGTTTATGTTTGTATATTTCCAAAGTGCATTTATAAGTTGGAGATTCGAGGTTGCTAGCACAAACAGATGCTCAACCAAATAAGATGGGGTGTAAAGAGGTCCATTAGAAGGAAATTATTATCGTTAGCAAGTATAAACCTTTAGTAAAACAAGAGTAGGTTTGAGCAAGATGTGCAAGTGGAATAATTGGAAGCAATTATGTGGAGTATAAATAAGGGTAGTGAGGGGTTATTTGATAAAAGATAATATCCACAAAAATATAAAAGCAATTGGTAGAGAGATTAAAATAATGATAACCTTTGTGAGTTTTAGAATAACACACAAAGTACATTTAATAACATGCGAAAAAATTGTACTAGATCCATGATGAAAATAATGGATGAAACAAACTCAATTGAAAACATAAAGAGCTATGAGAAAAAAATAATTTGTTGTTGATAGAGAAGAAAGAATGGGGGAGCTTCATTTAGACTAGGGAGGGTACATAGTTCATTAAGTCACATGTCATTAGGATAACATCTCTCAAAGTTATCTTAGAAAATTTGTTTGAAACATTAATGTACAAGCAACATTGAGAGATGACATTACTTGTATACAAACACAATTTTTTAGGAAGTATAAAGGCAAGATAATTGATGTGTAATACCATTTATAGTACAGAAGGAAAAAAAAAATGGATTGCATTTATTCTAGAGCAACTGTAAAATGAACTTTAAGAGATGTAAGACTTCTATTTTCTTATAACATTTTTTGAATATTGTGAATACTTCAGGCCAACATTTTATAAGTATATTCAAGTAACTTTTCTGTGGTCAATAAAAGAAACTAACCAAACTCCATGTGAGTTAAGATAGGACTTGAATTGTGGAAATTAGATTGTAGCAAGTCAAAATGGCTACGAGAAGATCTAGGCATGGGAATTGGGACACATGGTTTACTTTTAAACTTCACATCCAAACCTAGCGTTAGAGGAGGGAAGATGAGTGAAACTCTAAACATAACAAGGACATTTGGGATAACAATGGCACTTGTAAGGGCAGGTAGTGTAAAATGAAGCAATGGAAAAATTTTTATAGAGATAATTGATGTGTTCAATTTCAACAGTGTCACAATTCATCCTTTTTGAGCTGAGATCCCAAAAAATCTAGTAAAAGGAAGAAAAATTATTAAGCAATTATGACATTTATTAGAACAAGTTTTATAGTTAACATGATTATAGGAAAGCGAGGAATATATAAAACATTGTTTAAAGTTACTGAGGAGAAACGTAGAGATCCTCTTCGAGAAATCGGAGAGTAATCTGTTATTAATGTTGGGAATAGGAATTGTTAGTATGGTGAGAGAGAAAAACAATTGTGGGTTACTTGCCATGTGGGACGATGCACTTGAATCCAAGACTAAGGATGTATCAAAGTAAACAGAACTACATGAGTAGTAGTAAGTTAGATTGAAGTTTTATAATAGATGATCATATTTTTCTTGGGAGAGAAAAATAATGTTAGAACGAGCCTAATAGTATTCCAATGTTGTCCCAACATAATCAAATTGGTAATTAGTTCTCTGACAATATTAACAAGGTGAAAAATGAATCATCGCCTCCAAGATAACAATTACTTTTGCAGTGTTAGCTCTAAGAACAATGTGTTCAAATTCAAGAGAAGGCACAACTATAAGCTCAATAACTAAGAGAACACGTGATAGAGCAGTGATAAATGATGAAGTGGGGATATTGAAAAATGTGGAACTTCTCATTTTAATTTTGCATAGTAGTGTGATAAATTGTGAAGTGATGTTGAAGTACTTCCATTTGCCTTTCAATGTACTATAATAAGCTTGAATTCATTTGCCTCCTTATTATGAAGAAAAAATGTGAGAGTAGCCTATGCATGCCTGAATAATGTTAGCATCTGGACAATGTAGAATGAAAAAATCCCACATCTAACTGGCAAGGACCGAAAAGATGATAATGGTGGAAATTTTTGGTTTAAGAATATTGAGCATTTATGTGAATAAATCATAGTCATAAGACTTTCATTTGACCCAATAAGGGAACAAAAAGTTTTATCACAAGATGGCTGAAGGTGGGAGGTTTCGGTTTTGTGTGGAGGGTGAGATTTTTTGTGAGTAGATGAGGTAGGTTATGTAAATTTGGGTTTTGAATGGAAAACAATGAATTTCCAAAGTGATCTAAAGTTTGCAAGACTATGACACCAAATGACACCAATCCATGATTTTAGATAGAGGTTAGGGATCATGGTTGGGTTTCAAGATGCGTGCAAGGGGATGGAAAAGTAGAAGAGGTTGAAATAATGATATTTGAAGGGTTAAGGAGTGTGCGGTTGCTGTTTAGATGGTAGCTAAGTGGAGAAAGGGACCGGTGACTTGTGGAAGAACATGCAGGAGTAATGAGAAAGATCAACCAGATATGCTTAATCAAAATATAATAAACACTACTTGAAAGAGAAGGCCACATCATTATAATACGAGGAGAAAATAGAGAATGATTCTCCAAATAAGCGGAAGTAAAACTCTCTGATAACATTTTAAAATAGTCATCTATTTTGGGGAAATTGTTAAAGAAATTGAAAACAATGATAGCTTATTAAAGTAGTTTTTAAGTAATTGATTGTTTTAACTATTTAAATTTCATAATTTTTTAATGAAGTTTGGTTCTCAACATTGGATCATAACCAGCGTAGTAAGTTAAACAAATCATACTATAGCCTGAGAAAAGTGGGGAACAACTTTTGTTTGGCAGCAAAAGTTAGTGGTGTTCTTGCACTACATCGGTCCACTATTTCATCTTATTTCATTGAGTTATGATTATTTTTATTGTTCACGTGGCCGCTAGCTTCATCATTTGCTTTATTAAAATTAGGTGCTCTTACAATGTTATAAGATGAAACAACTCTTTTAGTGGAGTTTAGCAATTGTAACTTTTTATGATTATTACAATATAGTTGTCATTTATGACTCTCTATACTGATATTCAAATAAGATTTATCTTTTTTAACCATTTTGGTTTAAACACATAATTTGTATAATTCATATCCTTTTTAGCTTATTAGCTTTATGTTTATTTGCATGAGCTCAACTCCTTTTTATTTTGCAAAGTCTTGTTATCGCATAACAGAAGATCAATGTTTCATATTTTTCTTGCAGACCAATTTCTTGTTCATTGAAATGCTAAAACTTGATCTATTTTATTCTTTGCAGTGAAGCCGAGAGATGCATTCATTTGCTCGAGGAATCACTAAGCACGTTGCTAAGCTGTTTGGAGATTGTGGATTCTGAAACTGGTAAAAAAGAGGGCTACTTTTCTTGGGAATTAGGGGAGGCAATAAAATGTGCTAGCTTTCTCAGGAGGATTTATGAAGAGGTTTGTCAAATCATAAAGTGCTATTTCCTTTAACTTCCCACACTCAATTTTAAACATGGATTGTAATGTGACACTAGAATTGATGCACAGTAATGCATAACTTAATTTTGTTTTTTAGTTTGTTAATTGGCACAATAATCCCAAATCATAGCAATTGGTGATTTGTATTACATTTATCACATAATTCATAAACACTGTTAGGCTTCTTATTCCACAATGCTTAGGTTATTGATGGCTTTACCAGCTAATTTTTTCTACTGGTGCAAACAATTTGGCTTGAGCTTGAGCCGCTGCTGGCTTGAGCTTGAGCATGATTAATTAATCGAGTTCGAGTTTAATTCTATGAGTTCAAGACGGCTCACAACTAACTTGTTGAAAGGGAGAAAAAAATATTAATTCCAGCTAACATTAAAATAAAATGGTTAATAGAACGAGCAAATAGGAGATGAATAATAAGAAAGAAATTGGTGTAAAATATAAAATATTATTTTTGAAATTTTTTTAATAATCTAAAGATAAAGTATTGAATTTTAATTTTTTTTAGTATATTTCATATTAACCTTTTGTAAACTAGCCACCGGCTCACGAGCTAACTAATCTAGTTCGAGGTGGCTTGAGCTTGACTTGTTATCTCATCAAACTTAGCTCTCAAGTCACTTATCCAGCTAAGCCGAACCAGCTCACGAGCCGACTTAGCTTGGTTACACTCTAATCTTTTCTCATTTCCTAATTTTTCTTGCTATATAGACTCGGGCTTGTACTTTTTGAGGTATTTTTTTGTTATTAGAAGGTATATGCAATGCATGATGCTGGTGCCTAGGCAGAGTTGAAGTATGCTTCCCTACTTTTGTATTGCAGATATGTTTCAGTGTTCCATCTTATTTAATGATGAATGCATCACGGAAAGATGTAAAATCTCAGTGAGCTGAATTCTTTCGTAGAGGATCAAAATTAGGATATATAAATTACTCAATGAATTGATTTAAATAGTGGTGTTAGGTTACCTTCAATGACGAATAACAAGAAACTACATGATTGAAGTACATTTTGATATCAAATTTTGAACAAAGTAGATTATCTGGGTTGTGATACTCATATTGAATCAACTTTTGGGTTTTATTAGAGGAAGTAACATTACTAAGGGTGAGAAAAAACATATATGTATTAAAGACTAAATCTAGGGACCATTTGGTTCACTAACGTCGACAAGTTGATGTGGTATTATGAGATGTTAACTATTCAGTTTGTTGCCAATGCCATCCTAGAGGAAAGACAAACAATGGACATGTACCGAATCTCAATTTAGGAGACACCTACTTTTTGTGACTCTTTAAAGTTGCGGAACAACTCTTACCTTATCAATGATGTGAGGTTATATTCATTGTTATCTTAGTGCTTCTCCTGATTTGTTTCGGGATCCACTAAATATTGTTGAAATTCCTTTTAGTAGTAATAGTTTATTTTTTAATTCATTGATTATGTTTACATTTTGCGGAAGTGTTTCCTTAATTTATTACTTATTTGCTTGAGCTTCTTTACAAAGAAGTCAACTCTACGGTGAATATACCTCAAAGATGATGAGATTTTATTTTCAATACTATACCAAGCTAATAATTTAGACAAAATTAATGTTTTGTAATATAGCCGTTGAAGAAAATGAATCAAAAACAAAATTTGGTAAGATAAAACTGCAATTTTAGCAATGCTAGTGACTTGATAACATCTAACAATAGCTCTTTAGTCCATGCAGAAGTACCTTTGGAGGCTAATTTTATGCCAAAAAATTAATAGTGAAGTGTAAAGGATGAAGTGGATTTTTTTTTGTGTTTGCAACCTATAACACATAATTGGTGATGATTAGCCATCACTAAATCTTATATTTTGTGTTAGATTTAGATTTTTTTGGATACTGACTATTTTCATATTATATGATAAAATTATTAGTATTTAAATTTGCTCACGCAAGTGTTGCAAATGCTCTCCGCATAGTTGTACACCAAAATATCATTGAAGTACACAATCATAAATTTTCTGATGAAGGCTAGCCAAACCTGGTTCTTCAACCTCATAAAATTGTTCAACACATTTGACAGACTAAAATTCATGTTTGTCTGCTCATAAAATCAACATCACGTCTTGGTGGTGGTCTTTTACTTGTCTCTAGGTATCATCTGGATTTGATGGTTGCCACTGCGTAAATCAATTTTGGAGAATACACTAGCTCCATGCCACTTATGCAATAAGTCATCCAATCTTTAATGACGATCTTATTCACCGTCGTACTATCAATACATATACAATACAGTCCATCTTTCTTGAGAAAATTAAAGCTGGTATAATATTTGAACTGGTATTTTCATGAACTAGTCATTGGGCCCTCAAATTATCAACCAACTTCTGTATCTTCTCATACTATGTTTGTTGTATCGAGTAGCCTTGTCAGATGGTGAGCATTGATGATGAGATGAGATCTATAGTATTATGAATTTATGTAGGGGTGATGATATAAGTGGTAGACTTTCAATTAAAACATCATGAAACTCCTCAAACAGAGGTACACTGCTTCAAGTATTGGCTCCTCCATCTCACTGGCCTCTAACTTTACCAAGGTCAATCCCACTGACATTTCCCTTATATTATGTAGTATTGTGATGCTTGGAATTAAATCTCACATCTCTTTCTTAGTACTCATCAATTATAATTTCTTCAAGGATAGAAGTAAAATATATTTTCAATCTTCCGTTGAAAGGGAAAGTGTTCTTATGACCATCATGAATTGTGCCCTTACCATGCCGCCATGGTCAACCCTACTAAATGTTACATGCATCCAAATGCATGACATCACATCACGCTGCTCATGTAGCTTTTCTCTGGTGAAAAATTCTACTAGGCATCTCTTGTCATTAATGTTCTCTTTTTCTTTCTTTAACCAAATTAAGAAATATGGCTGAGTATGCTTTTGTATAGTGATGCTAGATTTGTCCGCCATTTGGATAAATATTACCTTCTTTTAATTGCATCGGTCTATAATGAGACTACACACATTCATCTTCACGATATAAAATGTATGGAAGATATTATGTTTGACCTACTAATGCTCTTTTTAGGGCTCGATTTGTAGAACTCATCAAATTATTACAAACATCTCACCTTCACTCGTTGCCATCCTCATCTCCAGATCTTCTACTCTCTATTTTTTTCGCTGCACCATGTTCATTGAAAGAAATCATTGTTTTGTCTTGGCAGTTGGTTACAATGTGACCATATTTTATGACACTTGAAACACTTTATTTTGGGTATGCATTGGTAGTGTCGGCTCGATCATTGGTTGCTCCTTCTTGTGCGGACTTTTCTAGTAGCGTAGGTTTTGAAATTCTAGTGAGGGGCACTTTTGTTGTCCAACCTCATGATATACTTCCGTTTGAAGGAATCTGATGTTGTTGTGTTGCTTTTTTACTTTTAGGGCTAAGTTTTGTACATTCTGCAATGTTTCATGGTGCTCTAACTATACCATATTGCCATTAAGTGGTCTCAATCCTACTAGATATTTGGGTAATGTTCTCTATTGGTTCCACTAACTCACAATTAAACATGAGTTATTTAAACTTATCATTGTACTCTACTTATAATTTCTTATATTGTAAATGGTGAAATCTCAAAAACATATTTTATTTGTAGTGTGTTGGGAGGTACTTATGCTGCAATTTCTTTTTTATTTTGGACTGTTGTGTTTTTACCTTTTTTTTTAATGTTTTCATGGATATTTCAAATTCTCCAACCACAGAGAAGCACTTTTCTTTAAATTAATGGTAGCTAATTTCATCTTTTATGTCAGGAAAAATGCCTATGTACTCAAAGTTCATGTGTTCCATAGTTTGAAACCACTAAATTCACATGATTCAAACAACCATCAAAATCTGATAAACCAACCTTCACTCTTTAAAGCCACCATTTCTTCTCTATGCTCAATGATAATCTACACAAAATTGGTTCTTTGTCACTTGAGGCTTCTTGGTTAAAAGAGTTTTCTTCTTTTTATTAACTGGGTGATTACCATTTTGACTTTACTTGACCTCGTTATATTTTTTTCCGTCAAATTTAGCAAGCCTCCGTCGTAATCAAAAGATTTCTTTTTATATGTCTTCTATATAAGATCTTGAATGCTGTCTTAAGGATTTCTTCTAGGCTGTATGGTAGATCTCTACTTAGGGTTTTGGCTAAGGTGGATTTTGGATTTGGGTTGGCCGAAAGTGATATTGGAATTTATCGAACACCCAAGGGAAAACAAATGTTTTTACTTTAAAAAATTTGAAATTACAACAACAATAGGGAAATTGCAAATTGCAACAAAACAACACAACACTAAAAGGGTTGGATCTAGAGTATAGTTGGTGCTGGCTAGTTTGGACCTCCGGGGAGGTGCAAGGGGGGCCGACCAGTAAGCTGGAAGGTGGCAGGTAGTTGGTGCTGGCTAGGGGTTTGGACCTCCGGGGAGGTGGCAAGGGGGGCCGACCAGTAAGCTGGAAGGTGGCAGCAACAATGGGGAAAGCTAGGAACACAAACAGTGGTGGGAGTGCTATTCTGAGTGGTGAAAGTAAAGAAAATAGAAAAAAGGGTGATGCGAGAGCGTTGCGGGAAATAATAGGGAAAATGTTGTTTTCGTTATCTTTTCTCTCTTTCATTTTTTTAGAAGTCGTCAGCTTGTCTATTTATAATCGTTGTATTATTCCTTTATTCGAGTAAATCTTCCTCTCAAAAATAATGAATGATCAGAAGAAGAGAGAAATCAGAAGGAGGGATATATGACGGGCAATAAACAAACGAGAGAAGCAACGTAAAGTGAGTAAATCTTCCTCTCAAATATAATGAATGATCAGAAGAAGAGAGAAACCAGAAGGAGGGATATACGACGGGCAATAAACAAACGAGAGAAGCAACGTAAAGAACTTTCGTAAAGCGATTTTCTCATGGATAGCCCCAAAGAGCACAGTCCGAAACGAGATCAGATCGAAAATACTTTGGACATCTATCTGCAAAGAGGAACCTACAAAAGCAACCTACAACCAGATATTGTATAAAAAATGATTTTAATTTATTAGAATTAAATTAAAATATGACACTCAATAGGACACAATGGAGAAAAAGGATTCATGTAGCCGATCCCACTTAGTGAGATAAATGTATGTTGTTGTTTGTATTTCCCATTCATAATTAAATCTTCTCCTATTCTCCAACAAAATGAAAATTTGACACTCATGACACTCAATAGGGCACAATGGAGAAAAAGGATTCATGTAGCCGACCCCACTTTATGAGATAAATATATGTTGTTTGTATTTCCCATTCACAATTAAATCTTCTCCAATTCTCCGACAAGCTATCCCTCTGAGAAGCTCATATCACCGGCCTCAACGATGCCTTCTTCAGTAAGCTTCGGCCGTGACATCCTCCCACAAACCTTCAGTGAGCTCTGATCACAAGATTCTCAAGACGAGCTCTCGAGCTTGTTACTGAACTGATGAGCCAAAGCTCGAGCTCATATTATGGGATCGACGTGAGCTCGGGCTTGAGTTCGAGCCGTCTATTTCATATATGAGCCGTGCTTTAGTTCAATATGACTTGAGCACGACTCGGCTCCTTTACATCCTTAGATGTAGGGATGATTTTTACTGGAGGTAGAAAGGTTAGGTATTGTGGGTTAGAGTTTGGATTTTGAAAAAGAAAATCTAGGATTTAAATGGCTTTAATACCAAATTACACCGATTTAGGGCTCCTAAATGCTTTTAAAGGATCAAGGAAGTGGGGGGGATTGCACGATGGCGTTGAGTAAAGCTCTAGGATTGGAGGGGACGAGAAAGTGGTCGCAGCTATTTTTCAGAGGACAATTAAGATGAGACAGCCGGTGATGATATCGAAGATCTACAGATGCTGAAACGAAGCAACCACTTATTCCATTACATGCTAATATGCTATAGACACAGCTTACAAAGGGAAAAATATACTGCCTCCCAGGGAGATAAATTCAGAGAAAGCTATATCTATTGTCATAAAATCCAAGTAAAAGTGTTCCATAGATATTTTCCCCAACATATATATTATCAATTCCTAGATATCAAAATAGCAACCTCAAAGGGGCATCATCCTCTCTAGGGTGAAATGGTCCAAAAATTGGATCTAACTTTGCTGTTCTGCATGCGTACCACACGATACGCTGATACTCAGCATCACGCCGCGCCCACTAGTTTAGGATGTTTGTGGAGCTTAGAAGTACTATCTTGCATATGATTAGGATTTATTGACATTGCGTCAAGAAGTGAAACATTACTTTGAGGACTTATTGACATTGTGTCAAGAAGTGAAACATTACTTTGCTTATCTTATGTTGAAGGAGATTGTTGCATACATACCAACGTGCCACTTCAATATTTCCAGACTAAGATTAAACTGCAGCAAACTTGGTTTATGATGTGGCTGAATTATTTTTAAAATTTCAACATTGTGGGTTTCCAATAAATTGTTGAGATGCTCTCTCAACAACAACTAATATTTCTCTTGCTGAAATATTATTATTCTAATTGATCCTTCCAATGCTTAAAGATCCCTGTTTTTACAAAAGGAATCCATTTTTCAAGAGCACGTTAGAGAAGTTGGAGAAGGCAATTTCATTAGACCAAACTTAATGGTCAAGTACTTTGTTTACATAACTTGTAATGATATGTTTTCACATTTGGACCACCGACATCGTAAACGAACCAGGTAAGATATTTCACATTTGTAGTTGTTGGTGTGAAATTCTCCTAGAAGGTTGGATACAATCTTGAAGGAGATGGCTAATCCGGACATTCACTTGAAAAGAGTTAATTAGAATATTTTTTCAACTCAATTTGGGCATATTGGATTGTGAAGGGATTAGAAGATATCAAGTTGATATCAAACCATCTGGTTTCTTGACAGAGATTGCTAATAGTGTTAATTTTTGTATCATTCCTTCTAGGTTGGAGATCAATTCAATAGGAGTTTTTAGATAATGACATTATCATTGATTGGATACCTGATGATCAAGATTGTGGGGCGAGAAATCTAAGCCATTTGATGACATTTTGTAGCACTAGTGTTAGGATGACTTTTGAATTTTGAATTTATTTTAAATAAGTTTATATTTTGAACTTTAAATTAGCTATGCATGAAAAGGTGTATTTCACTTTTAAAAAGGTAGCGAAGATGGTATTTTTGATATGATGTTAAAGATTTGAGTTGTATGCAAGCAAATATGAATGTTTAGGTGTTAGATATGTAAGTACATACGAATTGTATGGTATGTAATTGTCTCTTTTAATTAATACTCACCTTGTTTTTTCTATTTATGGTTTCGGCGCTGTTTTTCATTGTAACTTGTGCATCTTATGCTTTCCATTTTACACTTTGTCGTCACTTCTAGGTGTCGTGAAATGCGTTTCAAAAAGGCATATTTATGCCCTATTCAATCTCTTTATTCCCGTTCCAATATTTCTGCACGTCTACATCAAAATTATAATTATATAAATATATGCAACTTATTTAAGAAACATAATATTTAACTCATTTGCAGATAAGACATCAGAAGGACGCTCTTGGGAAGTATGCTTATCTCCTACTTTCGAACTATATATCAACTTTTTCAGGTTGTGGTCCCTCTAAAGCTGGTATTAAAAGGTATGTTCCACCATGAAAAATAAAATGTAAATACGTAGCACATTGGTTAGAAATAAAGTGAACTGTTTGTTTTTTGGCATATTAACGTACACAGCACACAATTCTTATGTATTTACATATTGGCATATTAACGTACACGGCACACAATTCTTATGTATTTACATATCTCACGCCTAAACTTTCATATTTACACACAGCATTCAAATCTTTAACATGACATTAAAAGTAGCAATACCTTATAAAAATGAAATACACATTTTCATGCAGAGGTTTAAAGCACCAAAATGATCTGTGTAAATATGGAAATTTATGTGTGAGAGATAGATGAAGCATTAAGCACACAATCCTTTGTTTTTTCTATTACTGCTCCAACTTGGGGCTTTCTGAAATGTTGCTGGTTAATAATAGCGTTGTTGTTTGTTTCTCTTGTGCTGCAGAGAGATAGATGAAGCGTTAAGGCCAGGTATATATTCATTGATAGATATATGCACACGCGACGATCTTCAAAAGCTTCACAGTTTACTTAGTGGTTAGTGTTAGTGTAATAAATTTAAAGTTGAAAAATGAAAATAGCCATAAATTAAAAAAAAAAAAATTTGCAGCAGCTTATTACCTTGCTGATTTGTGAATCTTTGATTAATTTGCAGAAGGCCCATGCAGGAGTACTCTTGCAACTTTGTTACAAGATTACAAACAGAATTTTCAGTATGAAGGCAAAATATAATGCATGGCCTCAAGAAGTTCTATTGAAATGTAGCTCATCAGAAGACAAAATATTAAAGGCGAGTCTCTGTCAACTGGACTAAGTTGAATGAATTCAGGTTTGTTAGAAGTTCTACTTTTTTATTTAAACATATTGCACTAAGAATGTAATATCGTTTTATTCGTAAATTCTTGTTATTTTTAAAAGAAATATGGAATATGTTTTATAATGAACAAGCATGAAGTGATGGTTACTTTTTGATGTTTTTAGATTGAGATTTTAGACATCAAACACATGATGCTCCCTGTGACGTTCAATCTGTTCTGTTGATTCAGATCAAAGAGAATATTTACTTTGGTCAAATGACTAGATTATATTTTAAATTTATCTTCTTCTACTATTGTGTTCAGTATTGATGTTGAGAATATTTATCTACTTTGGTCAAATGACTACATTATATTTTACATTATCTTCTTCTACTATTGTGTTCAGTATTGATGTTATGTGCAATCTAATGTAGTTTTGATATATTTTTTGAAATTATTTAGAATATGATCCAAATGTGCTAAATTATTGATTAGTTGCTTTGCATGGAATCAATAGATATTCGACTCATCCTCCTCGTATCTACATTTGTTACTCTAATTTGACAATTTTGTCGGTTAATAACCTTGAGCTCGGGTTCTACTTACCTTTGCCGAATCGAGATAATAGTAAATAAGGTCCTTTATAAATGTTGTAATTGGCTTTTGAACAAATCAGGATAAATTATTTATGTGCATCATTCATTTTTTGTGAGAATTTCAGAACATTGCACTGCAGCCATTTGCTTTTCTAAGATACATCTAAAGTTTTTTTTTTTAAATTTTGTCCATTATTTTCTTCTCCAAGGAAGATAACTGATTCTCTTGAGTCTCATTATATCATATAAAAAACTTGATGTTATTTTGATGAAATGTGGCACTTTTCATTTATATTTCTTTCAATCTCCTCTTTTCTCAGGTTTAGATTAATTGCCTTTAGAAGATTGGTGCAATGGGAAGACTCCTTGAGAGATTGCAAGGGGTTGAGCAGAATCAACTGTGCAGTAATTAGTGAAGGGAACTGTGCAGTAATTCAAGGAGATCATTAATTCCTTCTATGCCAAGTAGTTGAAGGCTTTATACTAATTCACTTGTTTACTTTAGCACCCCTATTATTATGTTAGGGCAATAACTCTAAGGGGTGGAGTGTGTCACTGCTGGTCTTAGCAGTCCATAGGTAGTATTTAATATTGCTTGTTTGGTATTTAATGAGGTTGTAAGAGTTGTAGTTCTAAAAATATTTTCTTAGTGAGTTTTATGCTTTGTTTGGCAGAGCTTTTATTTTTATAAAATTTTGTTCATTATGAAAAGTTGTATTTTAAAGCTTTTCGGAATAGCATTGGGATATGTGAAATAAATGAAATTTTTTTAAAAGCAGTTTTATAAAAATATTATAGTCATAGTGATGTGGTAGCTAGAGTTTTATTTTAGTATATGTGTTTCAGTTTGTTGTTGTGTCTCTATGTTTAAGAATGACATATAATTAAGAGAGTCTAGCATTTATAAATCGGGGCTGTTTTGTGCGGCCTGAGGATGGAGAGTATTTTGATTGTTTGTAAGAACCTTTCTCGTATTCTTTCGGGTTTAGAAGTGAATTCAATATCTTGGAGTGGCGTCGAGGTGGTGATCAACCATCTTTATTTCACTTTATGCATTTTATTCTCTTTTTGGGATTCTTGGTTCAATTTTCTTTCTTTTCTGAATTTAGAAGCTACAGATTTCTGTTGACACCTTGCTTTCATTATCTTCTTGTTATTAGAGCCCGATTCTTATACATCGTTTTTTCTTCCTTCTCTGAGTTCTTGTGCTTTGTCCGCGGGATTTTGGTCCAAAATTTGTGGATAAAACATGTCCAGAATCTGAGGCTGAAAGTTTGGTTTTTGTCAAGGTTTTCTGGTTTTCTTTGCAATTCAGGTGTGCTAATTTCTGTCAAGTTTTTTTTCTAAGATGATTGTATCTTCTCTGTCGTCGAGTCGTGGGGTTCTTCTGTCCAGATTTGGAGGTTGATAATCCTCTATTTTGGGTTTCTTGACTTCAATGCTTGCCTAGAAATTTCTAATAGTTTGTTGTCATTGTATTTATTTGTGGTTCTTTTTGCTCTCAATCATGCCGTCAAGGAGAAATAATGTCTGTCCAACACTAGATTTAGTTGTGGAAGAATTATAACAAGAAATTCCTCGTCTACAAATAAGATTGACACTTTTTGAAAAGTGAAAACCGAAAAAACGTCAAAATGAATCAGGAAATGAGATTATGGGTGAGGAATAGGATAACACTTTCCATCATGAGACATAGTGCTGATGAATAACCTCTTCGTATCTTGAGCCATGAAAATCGATTGAAACCTCTATATTTTGGAATCAAAATTGGCCTCCTTGATTTTGAGGGAAGATTGGATCTCGATCAGTTCGTCAATTAGCAACATATAGTTGAACAAATTCTGGAATTTAAGGAGTAACAAGAACATATAGTCAAATTAGTAGCAATCAAATTAAAGAAGAAAGTCTCACTTCAGTGGGAAAAGTTGAAGATGATTCGACAAAGAGAAGATTCAAAATCATGTCGTAGACCAATATGAAGAAAAGATGCAACTAAATTTTTTACCTGATTATTATCAACAAGAAGTTTTCATTCGACTTCATAACCTTCATCAATAAGAGTTATCCCTGGAGAAATATGTTGTTGAATTCAAACAGTTAGTGCTGAAGTGCAATCTTTTCTAACCCGAGGAGCAAATTATTCCACAAATTTTGGGTGGCCTTCGACCATTTAGTGCTGATGTGGTTCAACTCCAACATTCCGAGCATTACATGACATGATTAACTTGGCGGTGAAGGTTGAATAACAACAAAAATCGGGTAGAAACACTTCAATACACATTCCCACCAATGATTTGGGCAGTTCCAACACATTGGTCCACTTTCGAGGAAAGGTCGGTGGTGAAAATGCTGAAACAACAAGAAAATTGATGTCTAGCTGCAAGGGACTGCTACCACAACGAGTGAAGGAACTACATCCTGTATATAATGCTTTAAATGTCTTGGGTTTGGCCATATAACCCTGACTTGTTCTACCTGGTGCATCTTTTCATTGGTGGAGGAGGTTGTTCAAGAGAAAAATGATGTGGTCGAAGAAGATATTATTACAACGAGGGACTAAATCTACAACTTGACGAAGGGAAATCCCTTGTGTTAAGACGCTTCCTAAGTATCGAACAATATTTCAATAAAGAATGGTTATAATATAACATCTTTAAAACCAGATGCACAGTTCGGGACAAAGTTTGGAACGTTATCATCGACAGTAGAAGTTGTGATAACGTGGTTGTACTAACCACTCAACCGCATCCCCATCCCACTCACATTGCTCAAGAAGGGGGCTGACATTAAAGTCATTCAATATGCATGGTGTCATTTTCGATTGGTCAGAAACTTCAATAGCTTATGTGATGTAATTCCTATGGATGCTTGTCACATATTGCTTGGTCGCTTTTGTCAATTTAATTGTAGTATAATTCATGATTGGTATTCTAAAACTTATTCCTTTATCAAAGAGGGAATTCAAACCACTTTGGTCCCTATGAAGGAGGAGATTCAGGTGGGGACTGAAACAAACACTATCACTCTTTCATTGTTTTGAAAGATCTTAAGGAGACAATATGGGTACTCTTGATCATAATCGAGAGGACGTACATTCTTTCTAAGGAACATATTTGACCAGATCGAGCAAGCCGAGGGACTTACTTCTGCTTGAGAGCTAGTCAGAACGATCATATTGGGAAAGAAAACATGGGGATTTACATCTAACCCGGGCCGATCGAGGCATGGAGGCTAGATACTAGGAAGGAAAGCTTGGAGACAACATTCAGTTTTAGAACATAAGGTGATTAGCTCGAGTTGAACCTCTGAGGGACTCACATCCACTCGAGTGCTAGTCAAGGTGATCATATTAGGAAGGAATACATTGAGATTTACATCCAACCTGAGACCTAATTGAGACACAGAACCTGAAAATTCTAGGAAGGAAAGTATAAAGACTTAAATCCAATCCTATAAAGGAAGGTGACTAGCTTGAGGTAGACTGCCAAGGGACCACGCCCACTCGAGGACTAGTCGAAGTGATCATCTTAGGATGAAAAGAATGGAGACTTATATCTAGCTTGCGAATTGATCATGGCACGTAGCATACAAATACTAGGAAGGAAAGCGTGGAGAATTATATCTAATCCTATAAAGGAATCAGGTATGGGGCCCAAATAAGCCATGAGGAGATGCACATGAGACTTACATCTGACCAAGATAGTGATCATGTATGAGACCTGAATAAGCTAGGAAGGAATGCACACGAGACTTACGTCCAGCCTAGAAGGTTATCAGGTATGAGACCTGAATAAGCTAGGAAGGAATGCACACGAGACTTACGTCCAGCCTAGAAGGTTATCAGGTATGAGACCTGAATAAGCTAGGAAGGAATGCACACGAGACTTACGTCCAGCCTAGAAGGTTATCAGGTATGAGACCTGAATAAGCTAGGAAGGAATGCACACGAGACTTACGTCCAGCCTAGAAGGTTATCAGGTATGAGACCTGAATAAGCTAGGAAGGAATGCACACGAGACTTACGTCCAGCCTAGAAGGTTATCAGGTATGAGACCTGAATAAGCTAGGAAGGAATGCACACGAGACTTACGTCCAGCCTAGAAGGTTATCAGGTATGAGACCTGAATAAGCTAGGAAGGAATGCACACGAGACTTACGTCCAGCCTAGAAGGTTATCAGGTATGAGACCTGAATAAGCTAGGAAGGAATGCACACGAGACTTACGTCCAGCCTAGAAGGTTATCAGGTATGAGACCTGAATAAGCTAGGAAGGAATGCACACGAGACTTACGTCCAGCCTAGAAGGTTATCAGGTATGAGACCTGAATAAGCTAGGAAGGAATGCACACGAGACTTACGTCCAGCCTAGAAGGTTATCAGGTATGAGACCTGAATAAGCTAGGAAGGAATGCACACGAGACTTACGTCCAGCCTAGAAGGTTATCAGGTATGAGACCTGAATAAGCTAGGAAGGAATGCACACGAGACTTACGTCCAGCCTAGAAGGTTATCAGGTATGAGACCTGAATAAGCTAGGAAGGAATGCACACGAGACTTACGTCCAGCCTAGAAGGTTATCAGGTATGAGACCTGAATAAGCTAGGAAGGAATGCACACGAGACTTACGTCCAGCCTAGAAGGTTATCAGGTATGAGACCTGAATAAGCTAGGAAGGAATGCACACGAGACTTACGTCCAGCCTAGAAGGTTATCAGGTATGAGACCTGAATAAGCTAGGAAGGAATGCACACGAGACTTACGTCCAGCCTAGAAGGTTATCAGGTATGAGACCTGAATAAGCTAGGAAGGAATGCACACGAGACTTACGTCCAGCCTAGAAGGTTATCAGGTATGAGACCTGAATAAGCTAGGAAGGAATGCACACGAGACTTACGTCCAGCCTAGAAGGTTATCAGGTATGAGACCTGAATAAGCTAGGAAGGAATGCACACGAGACTTACGTCCAGCCTAGAAGGTTATCAGGTATGAGACCTGAATAAGCTAGGAAGGAATGCACACGAGACTTACGTCCAGCCTAGAAGGTTATCAGGTATGAGACCTGAATAAGCTAGGAAGGAATGCACACGAGACTTACGTCCAGCCTAGAAGGTTATCAGGTATGAGACCTGAATAAGCTAGGAAGGAATGCACACGAGACTTACGTCCAGCCTAGAAGGTTATCAGGTATGAGACCTGAATAAGCTAGGAAGGAATGCACACGAGACTTACGTCCAGCCTAGAAGGTTATCAGGTATGAGACCTGAATAAGCTAGGAAGGAATGCACACGAGACTTACGTCCAGCCTAGAAGGTTATCAGGTATGAGACCTGAATAAGCTAGGAAGGAATGCACACGAGACTTACGTCCAGCCTAGAAGGTTATCAGGTATGAGACCTGAATAAGCTAGGAAGGAATGCACACGAGACTTACGTCCAGCCTAGAAGGTTATCAGGTATGAGACCTGAATAAGCTAGGAAGGAATGCACACGAGACTTACGTCCAGCCTAGAAGGTTATCAGGTATGAGACCTGAATAAGCTAGGAAGGAATGCACACGAGACTTACGTCCAGCCTAGAAGGTTATCAGGTATGAGACCTGAATAAGCTAGGAAGGAATGCACACGAGACTTACGTCCAGCCTAGAAGGTTATCAGGTATGAGACCTGAATAAGCTAGGAAGGAATGCACACGAGACTTACGTCCAGCCTAGAAGGTTATCAGGTATGAGACCTGAATAAGCT